TTATTTTTCAAACAAAAATGAATTGGATTTTTAGCTAATATATTTTTCTTTATGAAAAAATTATTTTCATTATTTTAGCACCAAAATATTGCGCCACAGAATTATTCACGCGTGATGATTTTTTTTAACAAAGCAAAAAATTTAAAAGCGTTTTAATTAAATGATATCCGCTAATTACTGCGTATAAATTTACGCTAATTGTACTGATTCCTGTTATCACCACATAAAGTCGATTCGAAAAACATAAAGCAACTTTAACTTCACTGCTTACATCTAATAAATCTTTATGTATGCTCATATTACCAAGGTGCTCATATTACCCTAATCTACCCTATATATATATATATATATATATATATATATATATATATATATATATATATATATATATATATATATATATATATATATATATATATATATATATATATATATATATATATATATATATATATATAGGGACAGTGCAGAGACTTCCGCAATGGCGGACGCTTTTTTATAACGATTTTATAAATAAATTAAAGAAAAACAAAATAAAAAAAAAATAAAAAAAAAAAGAAAGAAAGAAAGACAAAGAAAAAATAAGAAAATAAGAAAAATAAATATGAAGAAAGTGGAGAAAAGAAAAAAAAGGAAATGAAAAAGCAAAAAACAAACAAAAAACCAAATCAAATCAAACTAACAAAAAAAATAAAAATAAGAAGAAACGAAAAAAGAAAAAGAAAAGACAAAAATCCAAAGTTAAAAGAAAAAACATTCGAAAATGAAAAGTAATTAAAAGCAATTAAAATAAAATATAGAAATTGCTCCGTTTTTGAAGAAACGTAAAAGAATATTTTTTAAATTTATTTTTTAAAGAGTATAATTCATTTTGTTTGCATCGTATGTTTTTTAATTTAAATGTTTTTAATTTTATGTTTGTTAGATATTTAAAAAAATGTATGTATTTTTAAAGCTGTATATGTATACGTATAAGTATGTGTATTTATAGGTACGTGGAAATAACCGTTTTACGGAACCGAATATTGTGCTAAAAAACTGTGCCACGCTTTATAGGTTTTTTTTTAACCAGCGTAGAGAAGACGTGTTTAGTTAAAAAACTTTTTAGAATTTGATATCAATATAGATTATTTTTATAAACTAGAATAGTTAAACTTTATTAATGTGAGGTTTATTATTTTACTAGATGGCTTTTTTATTGAGTTTTTTGATGTCTAAAACTTTGTTGTGCTTTGGGCATGAAATTAATGTAAAAGATATGCTTTTTTTTTTTTCTATACTATTCTTTTTTTTAAGTTTTTCATTTATCTATGCACGTGGAAAATTTCATTGAAAAAAAAGTTGTAGCAGGGTGTCTATTTTTTGTCGCACTTTTGGTACCTAATTTTCATTTTGCTGAAGTAGTCGTGGGAGACAGAGGGGTTAAATAATATTTGATTTAGATTAAATAAAATTTTTATTATAACATATTTTATCTTACATTGTAAGTCTCTCCAATAACAATTGCAATATGCTACTACTTATTGTATCATGCATCTTTTTTTAAAAAAGTCTAGGTAAAAACTAGACTTTTTTTTTTAATGATTAACTGTTAATCTTTCAACATTATATTACTATTGTTATAACTTATTTCTTTTTAATTCTTTAGCAACACTTACTTCATTAATTGGTAAGAGATTAATGTGTATTTTTATGTGTATTTATTAAGAAATATAGTCTGATTTTGTGTATTATGCAGTATTGTACTATTTAATATGTACTATGTTATTGTATATTTAATATGTACTATATATGTATATTTAATATGTAATACTACCTTTAAATCTTTTGTGTCATTGTATTATTTGATCTTTAATATCTTTGCCATCTGTTGCAGCTGGTAAGGTTTCTATATTATTAATTTGAGAGATAAAGTTGTTAAATGGTCAGTTCATGTAGCGCGTATAAATAGAGTTAGCAATCGATTGCATCAAGCTAAAATTAGAGCCAATATTTCCCAAAGACAGGCATCCAAGAGCCAAAAAATCGATGAAAAAGAAAAAAGTTAGAGCAAAAAATGTTAGAGCGTTAGCTATTCAAACTGAGTTATGATGAAATTATAGATTCATACAAAAATTTGTCTAATGACCAACTTTATAATTTAGAAGATGTCATGTATAGAAGAATTGTAGGCAAAAAACTATACCATGAATGATATGATCCTAAACATCCAAGCCTGTTTTGTATAATGGCAGAGTAGAAAAAGTATTTTGTTGAAAAAATGACTTAGTTTACACTATTTATTACTGGAAAGATGATGAAACGTATATGGAAGCTGTTGACCATTGCATGAAAAAGATCCAACTTGTTGCAGATGTTATTTCAGAAGAGTTGCAATTTTATTAATTTTAATTATATTAATAAAACACTGTGAAAGTACAAGTTTGAAATTTAAGCTAAAAAAGTACTACAAATGAATTGCTGAAAAATACTACCAGTGTTGTTACTAGCTAAAAGAAATTTATTATTGTAATCATTCACTAAAAGCCAAGACAAAACTATATGAGATAAAAAACAAACAAATCATTATTATTTCTTTTTAATAATATTTTATTTGTTTTTTAGTTTGAAACAGCCAAAGCGCTATTTGAAAGATTTAAAAATTATTAAAGGTTGGTTAATAAAATGGATATCAAAGCTGTAGAACATTGCATGAAAAAGTTTCAGCTTGTTGCAGATATTGTTTTAAGAGAGTTGATTAGATATTATCTTGTTAAAACACTGCAAATATATAAATTTGAAATTTATAGATTAAAAAACTGCAAGTGCTGTGACTTGTTGAAAAAAAAAAAGTACTGCTAGTGTTGTGACTTGCTAAAAAAAAGTAGCGCAAGTGTTGTGACTTGGTCAAAAAAAGTACTGCATGTGTTGTGACTTGCTAAAAATAGTACTGCAAGTGTTGTGACTTGCTAAACAAAAGTACTGGAAGTGTTGTAACTTGCTATGTATTTTTGATAGACGACTCTGGCTTACCGTTACGTGGTGTCTATTGTTAAAAATGATTATAAAATAATTTCATTAGTATAATTTATCATTGTAATCATTCACTAAAAGCCAAGAAAAAACTTTATGAAATAAAAAATCATTAAAATAATCAAACATTATTTAGTGTTAATATCATTTTTTTTATTTTTTAGTTTTTTAGTTTAAAACAGCCTAACTTTAACTAGTATCAAGCACTATATGAAAGATTTGAAGTTTTATAAAGGTTGGTAAATACCTTGTTTTGATTACCTTTTTACCACTCTTGACTGATAATAGAAGTCACTCTGTATTAGAATATTTTTACCAAAAATTCTCCAATTAATCAAAAATGCTTTTTTTTTAAAAAAAAATGTTTAGTCAGGGAAAAAAAAGGGGGGGGGGGATAGCCCCTCTCTTTTGACAATGGATGCAAAATTGATGTAACTTTTACCGGGTAAGATATATTTTTTACTTCTTTGTTGTTGTTCTTTAAATAATCAGTCAAATATTTCATAATTAAGTTTTTTTTGCGATATTAGGGTGTGTTAAAACATGGTCAACACATTTAACATGAGTTTTACACTTACCTTCAATGTTTGGTGGTTGTCCAGTATTAATTTATAGAACCTTTTTTTTACGGAAAAAAACTTTGTTTTGGGACTTTAGGAACAGTAGTTGCGTCATTTTAATTTTTTTAATTTTTAATTTTTTAGGTTGGGGGAAGGGGGGTTATTCGCCCCTCCCATACATCGATGTAAACACGACTTAAATTCGTAATAGTACCACCTCGTAAATTCTTGTAGAACATAAATTTATACTGTATACTAATTGAATTCATTTTATTTAAGACAAAAATATTTATGAAAACAAGTCTTATTTGATACTAGGGTGTATCAAACCATCGCCACCACACCCACCTCCAACGTTAACATACGCCTCTCATATACTCTGGTGGTTAAATATAATTTTATAACAATGTTTTTGTATATTTAAAATACTTATGTCTTGAAAAAAGACTATTTTTGTGAAAAAAAAGTTTAGTTTTATACGGGTAAGGTGGTGGTTTGGTGCCCCCTCTGTCCATCCGATACAACCGGTGGTTAGAATTTAACAAAACTTTGTAGCCCACTCTTACACCTATCTTTTGACACCAAGATATTTGTATTTCGATAAGAATTAATAAAGTTATGACAATTTAAGTGAAGAAAAACTTAATTTTGACCACAGTTTCTTCAACAATTCCATATATCGAAAAATCGGTACTCAAACTGTCATAACTTTTGAACCAATTGTTCGTTTTTGATAATTTTTTCACCTTTAAAATACTGTATTGGTCCTCTTTCTAATGATTTATAACAGTAGATAATTTAAACAATTTCAAATCTTTACTCACATACCTAGTATATATCTTTATATTTGTGTTTGTGCCCAGCAAACAAAAAGATATCTAAAATGCATCTAAAAACTGATCTAAAAGATGTTTAAATTCAGGTCTAGAACGGGACATAAATAGACGTCTATCTTATAGACGTCTTTTAGATGCATTTTATTCGACACAAATAATTGCCTTAGATGCATAAAAGATGTGAAATATACATCTTACAGATGCATATTAGATGTATAAAATACGTCTCTTAAATAGATGTCTAAGGCGCGTTTAAAAAAGATAGATAATAGATAATTTTTTAGTTAATAATAGCTCTTTTATGCATCTAATATACATCTAATATACATCTTTAAATGTATATTTCACATCTTTTATGCATCTAAGGCATTTATTTGTGTCGAATAAAATGCATCTAAAAGACATCTATAAGATAGACATCTATTTATGTCCCGTTCACGACGTGAATTTAGACGTCTTTTAGACCAGTTTTTATATGCATATTAGATGCATTTTAGATATTTCTATCTTTGCTGGGACTTGTTTGATACATAGGTGTTACAGCGGTTAAATTAGTCATAAAAAAGGATTAAATTAAATAAGTAAATAAACATTTTAACTAACATTACTTAATTTTTATTTCACAAAAATATACATAAGAAACTATATTTCTGCATTGCCGTCAACATTTTCTTCCACGTCGCCGATATCTAAAATATATACATTAATGACATTTTAATGACTTTAAAAGACATGTAGAATTCTGAATCTATTTTTATGAAATATTATATATATATATATATATATATATATATATATATATATATATATATATATATAATATATATATATATATATATATATATATATATTTATATATATATACACACACATACAGTATCGGACAAAACCAGTGCAACCAAATGATGCTAATTTAGTTTCTTTGTATAAAATTGCTGCATTTTTTCAATTTAGAGAAATAACTATGTAACTGTTTAGAGACAACGTTCTTCAAATTTTATTCATCACAAAGTTCATTATTTGTACACGAAAATTAAAAAATTAATCAAAAGTATTAAAAAAAGTTGATTTACTTCTGGACAAAACAAGTGCAACTCCACAAAATGTTGACCAAGCTGTATTCATATCAATATTTTGTGGTGAATCCTTTGTTGTCGATCACAGCCTTGCATCTTTAAGGCATTGATTCGATCAGGTGATCAATGAAACTTTGTGGAATCGCTGCCTAGGCCTTTTGGATTTGTTCAAACAGTTGATCCTTATTAAGAACACATTCATGATTAACTCTGCGGTTGACGATCTCCCACAGGTTCTCGATAGGGTTGAGATCCGGAGATTGAGGCGGCCAATCCATCACCAATAGATGGTTGTCTTGAAACCACCTGCTTGACTACTTTTGCAGTGTGTTTGGGATCGTTGTCTTGCTGAAAAACCCATTTTATTGGTATATTCCATTCAGCATGAGGTAACATAACATCTTTCAGGATATTTTTATACATGAAACGGTCCATTATTCCATCGATTCGATGTATTGGACCTAGACCATTAGCAGAAAAACACCCCCAGACCATTACATTGCCTCCACCTTGCTTCACAGTATATATATGTATGCTGCAAAATGGCACTTGTCAACGAAATTCTGCCTGTGTGCTGTCACCTGTCAGCTGATTGCTCGTTTCATGGCATGGTATGACTCCAGACTCCTGAACTGTTTGCTGTGGTAGTATAGTTCGTTTCATTTTTAAGACATATAAAATTAGGAACACTTTTTAGCATTGTTCGATGTTGATTGCAAATGTTTTGTCCAATACTGTATATACACATATATACATGTATATATATGTATTATATGTATGTATGTATGTATGTATGTATTATGTATATGTACATGTATTATATGTATGTATGTATTATGTATATGTACATGTATTATATGTATGTATGTATTATGTATATGTACATGTATTATATATATATATATATATATATATATATATATATATATATATATATATATATATATATATATATATATATAAACAAGAAGATTTGTATCTCAAACAGATACAATAATAAACAACAATTTTTTTATGAAAAAACTAAAGGAACTTGTATTATGGATACAAAAATTCTAGCATGACACAAAAAAGTCGAAGAATATCTTTTTAATACAGATATCAGTTTTGTAAATACTATTAAAACTATACCTCGTAAAACACTCCATATATTTACTAGATTTTCTAAGCTTATCTTTTCCCTATTTCCTTTTCGATTTAATTTGGACTGTAACTGATTCGAAAATAACCTGATATATTTATATTAAATGAATATATTTTAATAAATGAATGCTTAAAATTATGAAAGGTAAAAGCATTAAATTTGAAAATAAAATGCTAAACAAGGTTTAGCATTACACTTACTTTAGCACACAAACAAACTTAAACACCTACAGCGAAGCTCCCGAGTTTATCAAATTGTCATGTTAAAAGTAAATCCATAACAAATAACGGTCAAAAAGAATTGCTTTTGGTCCCTTTTAATCATATATCTAATAATTAATAAAAACATAATCAAAAAACATGTTCTCTTGGCTTTCCACCACCAATCTTTTTTAAAACTATCAAATTAGTATACTCGGTTTTATCTTTTAGTTTATTATCCAGTGTAACCACTTCGTCCACCGATTCTAGCAACTTCACCTCAGTAGCCTGAAACTTAATTTCTATAACTTCTTTTAAAAGAACTTTTATTTCTGCAAGCTCCTTGAGAATAACATTTTGCATCTCTACAAATAAGAATAAAAAGATTGATCAACATATTTAGCTCATAAAACCAAATAGCAAACAATGAAATAAGAACTTTAAAATTCAAATTATGCTTGAGTAACTTAAACTAAAATTTCAAAAATACATGAAAGTTTTTTTATTACTCCATCGCAGAAGTTGCCATAATATTTTGGAAAGCCTACTTTTTAAATCAGCTAAAACTTTATCCTGTAAAAGGCTACAATATTAAAGAATTTTGCTTAACTACTAAAGATAAAATGCTACACACATGATTTATCGGATCACAATATTATAAATAATCCATTTCTATTCTTTTATACCTATCTTTTACAATTATTTTAATACAAAAACAAATTAATAAAAAAGACCTCCACATTAACATTCAGTGGTGTAAAAACCAAAATTACTCACATTAAAACTTAAAACTCTTTGACAATGTGAACTTTGCTTGGTGTTCATCAATAAAATGTGAAGAAAAATTATCTTCTTCAATCTTTGAATCTGATAACAACTCTATTCAAAAGAAATAATTATAATTAGAACTATAAATAATCCCTCAACCATACCTGTTATTTAATTTAATCTTTCAACCAATTTTGTACTCTTTCAATTTCTGAATTCAAACAACTTCAGCATGCTTTCAATCAATTTTCAATTTTCATATCAAGTTGATTAAAGGATTATTTAATACAATAGAATGTTGTAAATGATATAAATATATGTAACCAATTTAACAACATTACATATAATAGGACACCCAAATAGTTAAAATAAAAAGAAAATCTTAGTAATACATAAAAAAGACTAATAGCTAGATAGATATTATTCAGATCAAATTAAACAAGAATTTATTTCAGTTTATAAACCATTAAGAAAAAATTATGATATTTATGTTATACTTTTAGCATTGGGCTTATTCATAATAGGTGGCGGAGGTTCTGGCAATGAAGAGCGGTATGATTTGTTATTCTTATTTTTAATGCTTTCTTTAACATATATCTCATCTGATGTAGAAAGTTGTATTCTTCACAACATGAAAATGAATCTAATTATAAAACATTTTGCTACAAAAAAGTAATTAAGTTACCTTTAAAAAAAATACAAAACAAGTTAGGTACTGACTATCTGTTATCTTACACTTTATCAATGGAAATTTGTGTCATTCTTTTGTTGACAAAAGGTTGTTTTTCAGTGCATGATTATAGTTTTTTTTTGGGACAATAAATTTGTTGGTATTCTTTGTCAATCCACTTATTTAGTGCATAATTACTTGGTTA